GTACTCTCTGCCAGAAAAAAGCAAACACACTAGAAAGCACAAGTCTCACAACTTTTAAAAATACGTGAAACACAGATGGCTTATTACACACAGGTAGTATATGCCTCCTCCATGAAGAGAAACCAGAATAGTAAGTAGATGCTCATATTTTGAACTGATAATCTAGGAAAGAAGGCTAGGATTCATCAGAGAAGAGATGGGAAGTACCAGAAGTAAGTAAGGAGAGGGTTCGAGGTAGCTTGCCCAGCCAGGGAACTCACTGAGAGCCAGGAGGGGCTCCTGGATGTGGGGAAACAATATGAGAGATATGGAGATACCCCCAGGGCTCTACACTTTGAAACAGGCTTATAGGGTCTTAGTGATGAGAGAAACCCTCTACCAACTAGGGCCTTGGGCCTGACATAATGAGCTGTCTACAGACTGTAAAGAGACGTTACTCCAGAAAGGAACCTCAGAATCCTAAAGGCATCCCACAGATCCTGGACCAACCTCAGCTGGGTGCCACTTGGAGAATCTAGATACTGGAGATCTAGAGACATGGCTGCTGCTGCTGTGCTGCTCTAAGGAGGGAGAAGGAAGACTGGGAGCTCTCATGTACCCCTGGGAAGGTCCCAACTGACCTGCTGCAGGCTGTTGTTGAGACAGACATGAGAAGACCACACTCCCCACAGCTTCTTGCCCATGCTGCTTGCCTGGGAGGAACCCATCCTCTCTGGTTCCCAGCCCAAGGTGCCATCTTGAGAGGTTAACACTGGGCTGTACCCTGACCTCGGGTTAAGATCGGGCTGAACCAGCTGCAGCTGCTAACCAGTCAAGGAGAAACAGGGAAACCAAGCCCTCCTACGCATATCTAGAACAATACTCACACCCTGCAATGGGCTGCTGTGAAACTGAGCTGAGTGGACTATACTCCATATTGCTTCATGCCCATGCTGCCTGCCTGGGAGGGGCCCTGCCCTCCCTGGCTGCAGTCCTAAGGTGCAGAGCTGTGCCCCAGTCTCAGGCTGAGTAATAGGCATGGTGGCTACAGCTGCCACTCAGTCAGGGGACAGACAGAAGAGACCAAGCTCTCCTAAGAAAATTTAGCACAAGACCCTCTGCCCTGCCATGGGTGGCTGTGGGACTGAGGACAAGCCTGGCCAACCCATTGCAGCTTCCAGCAACACCAACATGGGCAGCAGGGTTGTTCTACCATTCTTACTGCCATCACCTACACCATACCAGCTGAACATGAGCCTGAGGACCCAAACACCTGGCCAACCCTCCCCACTAGTAGCTTCTAAGCAAGCAACCTGGAGGCCCAAGAATCAGCCCTCCAGGACTCACTAACAGTAGAATAAAGGTAAGTTGCTTTGGGGCCTAAACATAGGCACACATACCATAATGTGGCCACCACTAGGGCCCAAAGACTGGCTCAGGTGGCATCCAAGTCTTCAGCTAAACTTCACTACAATATCAACTAATAACTGAATCCTAAGCCACCAAGGAAATCACAGATATCACTGACCTTGTGTACTGACGCAGAATTCATACAAAGATCACACTACCCCAGGCACCCAAAATACAAGTCAAAGTATTTTAATCAGTAACACCCATACATCTTCAGAAAAATATTTTCCCCTACAAAAGCAACTTCAAATAGTTGAAATAAGTGACTGCTAAATCAGATGTGGCAACATCAATGGAAGGACACAGGAAACATGAAAAAGCAGGGAAAATAATCACATCTCCAAAGGACCACAATTGTTCAGCGACATACTACAGTCAAAAAGAATTTCTCAATTCAAAACTTTGGACTAGGTTAAAAAAAAAAAAAGAAAGAAAGAAAGAAAGAAAGAATTTTAAATTAAAAAGAAAAATCCACAAAATACCAGATAAATAATTTAAAATATTGATTAAAACTCAGTAAGATGAAGGAGAAATCTGAAAACCAATACAAATAAATCAGTAAATCAATTCAGGATATGAATGAGAAATTTATCAAGGAGACCGACATCTCTTTTAAAAAAAAAACAGCAGAAATTCTGGAAACAAAAAATTCATTGAAGAAAATAAAAAATACATTTGAAAGCTTTAATAATAGAGTAGAGCAAACAGAAGAAAGAATCTCAGAACTTGATGGCATATCTTTTGAAAGAATCCAGTCAGACAAAAATAAGGGAAAAAAAATTAAAAGAATGAACAAAGCCTTCAAAATGTCTGGGACTACATAAAGCTACTGAACTTACAAATTATTGGTATTCCCAAGGAGGAAGAGAGATCAAAAAGTTTAGAAAGCCTGCTTAAGGAAATAATCAAGCAAACTTCCCAAGTCTATTAAGATAAAGGAGGCCCAGTGACTCCTAGGAAAATACATTGCAAAAAGGACTTCACCATGGCATATTATATTCAGAATATCTAAAATCAAAGCAAAATAAAGAATTTTAAAATTAATAAGAGAAAAATATCTAGTCACCAGTAAAGAAAACCCCATCACACTAACAGCAAAGTTTTCAACACAAACGTTACAGACTAGAAGAGAGCAGGATGGCAATTTCAAAGTGCCGAAAGTTAAAAAAAAAAACAAAAAAACGGAAAACCTATCAGCCAAGATTTTTATATCCTGTCAGAATAGTTTTATAAATGAAGGAAAAATAAAGTCTTTCCCAGAGAAGCAAATGCTGAGGGGATCTGTCACCAATTAGATGGGTCATACAGGAAATGCTCAAAAGGGTCTTAAACATGGAAACAAAAGGTTGGAATTCACCATCACAAAAACATACAGAAATGTAAAACTCACTGTTCTTATAAAACAATCATACTAAGGAGGAAAAGAAAGGAATCAAATGGAAACACAACAGAATTTCATCAAGTCACAGAAACAAAAAGAGAAAAAGCAATAAAGATATTTGTAAAACAAATTGGAAACAATTAACAATATGACAGAAACAAAGCCTCACATGTCAATATTAACCTCGAATGTAAATGGATCAAACGTTCCACTTAAAAGATTGGTGAAATGGATTAAAAAAACACACACATAATCCAACTACATGCTGCCTACAAGAAACTCACCATACTCATAAAGACACATAGTCTGAAAATAATGGGGTGAAAAAGATATTCCATGCAAATGAAAACCAAAAGTGAGCAGGAGTAGTTATACTTACATACATCAGATAAAACATACTTCAAATAAAAAAAAGTTTTAAAAAGACAAAGGAGATCATTATATAATGACAAAGGGAGTCAATTTGGCCAATGAATATAACAATTCTAAATATATACATATATATATACACACACACACACACTAAGTATCAGAGCACTCAAATTCACCAAACAAATATTACTATACCTAAAGAAAGACAGAGATAGCAATATCATAATAGTGGGTGACTTTAACATCCCAGTCACAGCCCTAGACAGGTCATCGAGATAGAAAATTAACAAAGAAACATTGGACTTACATTGGACTTTAGATCAAATGGACTTAACAGATACAGACTACAACTTAGACCACAAAACAAGCCTTAACAAATTTTTAAATATCAAAATCATATATAGTATCTTCTCAAATCACAGTGGAATAAAGCTAGAAATCAACACCAAGAACTTCAGAAACTATACAAATACATGAAAATTAAACAGAATGCTTCTGAACAATCGTTGGGCCAATGAAGAAATTAAGATGGAAGGTAAAAGTTTTTTTGAAATAAAAAATGAAAGGACAACACATACAGCAAAAGCAGTGCCAATGGGGAGTTTATAGCATTAAATGCCTATATCAAAAAAGTAAAAAGATCCCAAATTAACAATCTAACATCACATCTTAAGGGAAAAAGATACAAAGAAAAAAATTAAAAGACCAGAAAAAAATACGAAGAATCAATAAAAGAAAAGTTGGTTTTTTGAAAAGATAAACAAAATTGATAAACCACTAGCTATACTAACCAAGAAGACAGAAAATCCAAATATGTACAATCATAAATGAAAAAGGAGGAAGAATGGATTAAGAAAAACCTGATATCAGAGAAATACAAAAGATCAAAGATTATTGTAAAAAACTATATGCTCACAAACTAGAAGACCTAGAGTGAACTGATAAATTCTTGGAAACATACTACCTCCCAATATTGAACCAGCAAGTAAACAGACTGCACAGACCAATAATAAGTAGTAAGATAGAAACAGTAACAAAAAGCTCCCAACAAAAAATAACTCAAGACCAGATGAATTCACAGTTGAATTCTACCAAACATACAAAAAAAAACTAACACCAGTCCTCCTGAAACTATTCCAAAACATCAAGGAGGAGAGAATTCTCTCTAACTCATTCTATGAAGCCAGTATCTCCCTGATACCAAACCAGACAAGAACACAACAACAAATACTACAGACCGATATCTATGATGAAAAGCGACGCAAAACTCCTCAACAAAATACTAGCAAATCAAATCTCATAGCACATCAAAAGGATAACAGAACAGGATCAGGTGGGACTTATCCCAAGGATGCAAGGATGGTTCTACATAAGCAAATCAATAAACATGATACATCACATAAATAAAAATAAAGACAAAAACCATATGATCATCTCAATAGACACATAACAAGCATTTGATAAAATCAGTATCACTTCAGTACAAAAATCTGAAACAAACTAGGTGTAGAAGGAACGTACCTCAACATAATAAAGGTCATACATGACAAACCCACAGCCAAGGCTGGGTGCAGTGGCTCATGCCTGTAATCCTAGCACTTTGGGAAGCTGAGGAAGGCAGATCACCTGAGGACAGGAGTTCAAGACCAGTCTGGCCAACATGGTGAAACTCCACTATACTAAAAAAATATATACATACACACACACACACACACATATACACACCCATATATATGTGTGTAGTAGTACATATATCTGGGTGTGGTGGTACATACCTGTAGTCTCAACTACTTGGAAGGCTGAGGCAGGAGAACCACTTGAACCTGGGAGGCAGAGGTTGCAGTGAGCCAAGATAGCATCACTGCATTCCAGCCTGGGTGACAGAGTGAGACTGTGTCTCAAAAGGAAAAAACAGACAGCTCTTTCCCTCCCAGCAGGCGGCTGTGGCGGCGGCGGCCTGTGCAGCAATGGCCAAGATCAAGTCTCCAGATCTTTGTGGGAAGAAGGAGGAGCTGCTGAAACAGCTGGACGACCTGAAGGTGGAGCTGTCCCAGCTGCGTGTCGCCAAAGTGACAGGCAGTGCGGCCTCCAAGCTCTCTAAGGTCCGAGTCGTCCGCAAATCCATTGCGCGTGTTCTCACAGTTATTAACCAGACTCAGAAGGAAAACCTCAGGAAATTCTACAACCGGCAAGAAGTACAAGCCCCTGGACCTGCGGCCTAAGAAGACAGGCGCCATGCACCACCGGCTCAACAAGCACGAGGAGAACCTGAAGACCAAGAAGCAGCAGCAGAAGGAGCGGCTGTACCCGCTGTGGTAGCACGCGGTCAAGGCCTGAGTCAATAAAGCACAGCTGACTGAGAAAAAAAAAAAGAAAAGAAAAAACAAACCAAAATGAACAACAACTACAACAACAACAAAAAATAACAAAACCCACAGCCATCAGATTTAATACAGAAGAGTTGAAAGCATTCCCTCTAAGTACTGCAACATGAAAAAGATGCTAACTTTCACCACTCATATTCAAAGTAGTACCAGGTGTCCCTGTCAGAGCAATCAGCAGGCAAGAGAAAAAACAAAAACCAGCATCCAAGTTGGAAAAGAGAAAGTCAAATTATCCTTTTTTGCTAATGATGTGATCTATCTAGAAAACCCTAAAGACTCCACCAAAAGACTCTCGGATTTGACAAATGAATTCGAAACGTTTTAAGATAAGAAATTAATACAGAGAAATGAGCAGCATTTTCATATAACAATAATGATCTAGCCAAGGACCAAATCAAGAAGGCAATCTCATTTCCAATAGCTACCGGAAAAAAAAAAAAAACTTACAAATATACTGAACCAAGGAGGTACACAATCTCTATAAGGAAAATTACAAAACACTGATGGAAGAAATTGCAGATGACACAAACAAATGGAAAAACATCCCAAGCTCCTAAATTGGAAGAATCAACATTGCTAAAATGATGATATTGCCCAAGGCAATCTACAGTTTCAATGCAATCCCTATGAAATTATCAACATTCTTTTCCCCAGAATTAAAAAGAAAATTCTAAAATTCATATAGAACCAAAAAAGGCCCCAAATAGCCAAAGTAATCTTAAGAATACAGAATAAAGTTGGAGGTATCAAATTACTTGATTTCAAATTACACTATAAAGCTATAGTAACCAAAACAGCATAGTACTAGTATAAAAATAGACACATAGGCCAGGAGTGGTGGCTTATGCCTGTAATTCCAGCACTGTGGGAGGCCGAGGTGGATGGATCACGAGGTCAGGAGTTTGAGACCACCCTGGCCAACATGGTGAAACCCCGTCTTTACTAAAGATACAAAAAAATTAGCTAGGTGTGGTGGCGCGCACCTATAGTCCCAGCTACTTGGGAGGCTGAGGCAGGAGATTCACTTTAACCGAGGAGGTGGAAGTTGCAGTGAGCTGAGATGGCACCATTGCACTCCAGCCTGGGCGACAGGGTGAGACTCCATCTCAAAAAAAAAACAAAAAAAGACACACAGATCAATGGAACAGAGTAGAGAACCCAGCGATAAAGTCACATACCTACATCCAATTGATCTTTGACAAAGCATACAAAAACATAAATTGGGAAATGGGCACCCTATTGAATAAATAGTGCTGGGAAAATTGGAGGCTTTATTTATTATTCTGCTATATGCAGAATAATAAAACTAAACCCATGTCTCTCACCATATACAAAAATTAACTGAAGATAGATTAGAGACGTCAATGTAAGACCTTACATTGCAGACTGACACCTCACACCTCACACGGCAGGGTACACCCCTGAGATGAAGCTTCCAGAGCAAGAATCAGACAGCAACACTCACTATTCAGCAATATTCTGTCTTCTGCAGCCTCCGCTGCTGATACCCAGGCAAACAGGGTCTGGAGTGGACCTCAAGCAATCAACAACAGACCTACAGCTGAGGGTCCTGACTGTTAGAAGGAAAACTAACAAAAAGAAAGGACACCCACACCAAAACCCCATCAATTCGCCACCGTCATCAAAGACCAAATGCAGATAAAACCAGAAAGATGGGGAAAAAGCAGTGCAGAAAAGCTGGAAATTCAAAAAAACAGAGCGCATCTCCCCCTCCAAAGGAACGCAGCTCATCGCCAGCAACAGAACAAAGCTGGACGGAGAATGACTTTGACGAGTTGAGAGAAGAAAGCTTCAGTGAATCAAACTTCCCAGAGCTAAAGGAGGAACTACATAACCAGCGCAAAGAAACTAAAAACCTTGAAAAAAGAATGGATGAATGGATAACCAGAATAATCAATGCAGAGAAGACCTTGAAAGAACTGATAGGGATGAAAACCATAACACGAGAAATACGTGAGAAATGCACAAGCTTCAGTAACTGACTCAATCAGCTGGAAGAAAGAGTATCAGTGATTGAAGATCAAATGAATGAAATGAAGTGAGAACAGAAGTGTGCAGAAAAAAGAGTAAAACAAAATGAACAAAGCCTTCAAGAAATATGGGATTATGTGAAAAGACCAAACCTACATCTGATTGGTGTGCCTGAAAGTGATGGGGAAAATGGAATCAAGTTGGAAAACACTCTACAGGATATCATTCAGGAGAAATTCCCCAACCTAGCAAGGCAGGCCAACATCCAAATTCAGGAAATACAGAGAACGCCACAAAGACACACATCGAGAAGAACAACTCCAAGATACATAATTGTCAGATTCACCAAAGTTGAAATGAAGGAAAAAATGTTAAGGGCAGCCAGAGAGAAAGGTTGGGTTACACACAAAGGGAAGCCCATCAGACTAACAGCAGATCTCTCGGCATAAAC